AGATATATAATCATTTGATTTAGTTTCTTGAAATCTAGAACTGGGGGGGCCTGCTAAGTATGTATGGGGGGGGGGGGAAATCAGCTCCCCCCCCCTATCTACGCAATTTATGCTCACCTATTTCATTATTTACTATTTTGCGTCAATATCCACGTAGCAATGTATTCGTGCGTTCTGATTGTAATTCCAAACATTGATTTCAATTTTAGTGAAACTCAGAGAAAATATCGTTTATTTAGAATTGCAATATTGCCGCCAACTGCCGCCAGAAATCAAGTTGTGCCGCCGCTCCGACCAATCACAGGCTGAATCTTTAGTTTGTAATGGTTGCCCAACCTATTGGACAAATATTTAGAGATCTATAGACCTGGTGAGAGAAGGACAGTTTGATACAAACCATTTCAGAGTATGGAAGACAACCCGGAGCCTATGCAGGCTCTGAACCTCAGCAACCCAACCTTCAGCTCTTCTCCGCCCCGAACCAACCATCTCATAAATCCTGACTCCTTGAGACTTCAGCATCTTTACACCCTGGCTTTTGCAGATAGAATGAGACTTCTCCAACCCTTCTCCCCCTTCCCTCCTCTCCTAACACCTCCTATGATACCTAGGTTTGCTCCTCCTCCTGATCTAGCTATGTTTCCTATGGCTAAACTTGATCCTCGCCTCTTTAGAATACCATTCCCTGAAGAACCTAAACCCCAGCACTCCTACATAGGACTTATAGCTATGTCTATTCTAAGCTCTGTGGAGAAGAAACTAGTGCTAGCAGATATTTATCAATATATTCTTGATAACTTTCCATATTTCCGACACAGAGGACCTGGTTGGAGAAACTCAATCCGACACAATCTATCTTTAAATGATTGTTTTATCAAGGCTGGGAGAGCATCTAATGGTAAAGGACATTACTGGGCAGTCCATCCTGCTTGTCAACAAGATTTCCAGAAAGGAGATTTCAGCCGGAGGAAGGCTCAGCGGAAGGTTCGAAGGTATCTGGGTATGAATCTGGATGAGGAGGATGATGATACCCCTCCTTCCTCCCCACAACCCAACCTCCAAACCTTTAAAATTGTCGACAAGTCTTTGAAACTCGAACCGTCAGAAACGAAAAAGTTTAGCTTTGGAATTGACTGCATTCTTGGTAAAGTTGAGCATGAGGACGATATTACTGATGATGACTCGAAATCTGATATGGAGGCCGAAGGAGATGAAGATATCAAGGTTGAGGTCGAAGTTGAACGTGATGAGGAACCAGTTCATGCTGGGTTTTCTCATTTTAAACCAGGAGCATAGACCTGTATAGCTTTCTTTATCAAAAACATCTAAATTGTCATGTCATCATGAATATATATATAGAAAATTAAATAAATATACTAATGACCACATATTTCTTTTCTGTTTCAAAACATCTATATTTTAATACTTAAAATTAAGTTTATTTGGAGAAAGTAACCCTGAGAAAAGGTTAATAATACAAAATTTTAAAATATNTGTGTCAATATGGGTTCTAAAGGGACTGTTCTGTGTTAAAATGGGTTTTAAAGGGACTGTTCTGTGTTAATATGGGTTCTAAAGGGACTGTTCTGTGTTAATATGAGATTTAAAGGAACTGTTCTGTGTCAATATGGGTTCTAAAGGGACTGTTCTGTATTAATATGGGATATAAAAGGACTGTTCTGTGTTTACATGGGTTCTAAAGGAACTTTTCTGTGTTAATATGGGTTCTAAAGGAACTGTTCTGTGTTAATATGGGATCTAAAGGGACTGTTCTGTGTTAATATGGGATATAAAGGGACTCTTCTGTGTTAAAATGGGATCTAAAGGGACTGTTCTGTGTTAATATGGGATCTAAAGGGACTGTGCTGTGTTAATATGGGATCTAAAAGGACTGTTTTGTGTTAATATGGGTACTAAAGGGACTGTTCTGTGTTAATATAGGTTCTAAAGGAACTGTTCTGTGTTAATACGGGTTCTAAAGTGACTGTTCTGTGCTAATATGGGTTCTAAAGTGACTGTTCTGTGTTAATATGGGTTCTAAAGGGACTGTTCTGTGTTAATTTGGGATCTAAAGGGACTGTTCTGTGTTAATATGGGTTCTAAAGGGACTAACTATGTAAATTTCAGAGATCCTGGATTTAAAGGAGAGCAATGGATATGTCCGATTTACAACAGTAACCTTGAAACCTTAATCCGTAAAAATGTTTTAAAAAAATGATAAATTCTCACAATTTCTCTATTGTTTCTGAAGCAAGTCTTTTTCATGGTAAAACAACAATTTGAGCAGACTAAGCTTTCAATGGTACCTTTGTGAATCTTTCAAAATAAAGGGTTAAATGAAATTACGTTTACAGTAACTTTGGATTAATGGATTTATATTGATTTCTTTGGATTTTATTTGATTTCTTTGGATTTATAATGATTTCTTTGGATTTATATTGTTTTTTTTAAAATTTAAATTGATTTCTTTGGATTTACATTAATTTCTTTGGATTTATATTGATTTCTTTGGATTGATATTGATTTCTTTGGATCTATATTGATTTCTTTGGATTTATATCAATTCTTTGGATTTATATTAATTTCTTTAAATTTGAATTGATTTCTGTGTATAGTTGATTTCTTTATATTTTATTAATTTCTTTGGATTTAAATTGTTTTTTTTGAATTTTAATTGAATTTAATTGATTTAAATTGATTTTTTTGAATTTTAATCAATTTAATTTGATTTCTTTTGATTTTAAATGACTTTTATTGATTTCAGTTGATTGATTTTTATTGATTTCTTTGGATGTTAATTGATTTTAATTCATTTGAATTGATTTAAATTGATGTTAATTTATTCTAATTGATTTCTTTCGATTTTAAATGAATTTGGTTGATTTCATTTACTTTTTCTTTAGCTTTTAATTGATTTAAATTGATTTAAATTGATTTTGGTTGATTTAAATTGATTTAATTTGATTTTAATTAATTTTAATTGATTTAAATAACTTTTTCTTTTGCTGTTAATTGATTTCATCAATTTTATTTGATTTTGATGATTTCATTAATTTTGATTGATACCGACTGATTTTGATTGGTTTTAATTGATTCAATTACTCTTTCTTTTGCCGATTCCATTAACGCCTGATCCAATCAGGGTTCAGTCATGTGCTTGTTGTCTATTCTGACCCAATAGATATAGTATGGCGGTAACATCTATCTTTCTATCTATCTCATTATTCAATCAGAGTTATGAATCCTTCAATCAGCGCTATCAGTAAATGGAAATATTTATTTTTACTGAAACTACAGTGTTCAAAAGAACTGAGTTTTTGCCACAAACTCAAATTTTATATTCCCTATATCCTTGCGACCTGATGGCACAAACCGTTAACATTTCAAGCTTAGACTATTTGATCGAATAGAATTCATAGTTTTAAAATATAAATAACATACAAAATCTGGTTGCAAAGATACAGGGATTACAAAATCTAAGTTTTTGGCAAAAACTCATTTCCTTTTTTAGATTTATATCTTTCACACCAAGTCCCTGTATTCTCCTCTGTTTCACATATTCTATTTGATTTTCAAACCCAGCACTTAATTTTACAATTTAACAAGGGAATTTTTACGTTAACCGCGGATTTCAATGATGTGTTTGTAAGCGTAAAGGGACTGTAAGTGTAATTTCAAGTAATCTTAAAGCTTCGTCTGCTCAAGTATCTAAATGTTTCATTTGCAAATTTGTGTTTTCTCTGCAAAGTAGCGAATTTCTTGCTTAAAAGACGCAAAAAATCATTCACAGAAATAAACACTTTTCTATTCAGAAACGATGTTATCTTTCACATTTTTGATCAGATTAAGGTTTCAAGGGTACTGTTGTAAATCGGGCATTGCTATCTTTGCATGGAGGATCATTTAAAATTATTCTTACAGTCCTTTTAAACTGCATGAAAAAGTAAAATTAGTTTGAATGCGACCAAACTTAAGAACTTTTTTTTTTAAAACTCCCCCTGGCGCAATCATGTTGCTCATTAATACCTAATTCTGAATCCCCCTGTATAGATTTACAGATACACTTAACTCCTGGTCTTCAGTTGATATCATGAAATAGCATAAATGCAATCTTTGTTTTAAGTAACAAGTAGTAATGGAATACACTTAACATCTTTTCATCTATTCATCTATTCATCTATTCATCTATTCACCTATTCATCTATTCATCTATTCATCTATTCATCTATTCATCTTCTATCTATCTACCTACCTACCTATCTATCTATCTATCTATCTATCTATCTACCTACCTACCTCTCTATCTTTCTATCTATCTATCTATCTATCTATCTATCTATCTATCTATCTATCTATCTATCTATCTATCTATCTAACTATCTGTATCCCTGATATCTGATTGATTCTAAGTGTCGGTCCCCTCTGATATCTCTTCATCCCTTCTCACCCCATCAAAATATTAGGTATTAGACAACATCAACATAGATAGATAGATGAATAGATAGATAGATGAATAGTTAGATAGATGAATAGAAAGATAAATAGGTAGGTAGATTTATTTATTGATTTATTGATAGACTGGGATAATGTCGTTTTTCTATGATAATAGATACTTTCCCAAGTGGCAAGTTCCCAATGATATTTTCCCAAGTGGCAATTTCCCAAATGTGCAGCGCTCGGTCCACATTGCAGCCTGCTGCGCCTCAGAAGTCTGAGCCTATCCTTTGGGAAGTGGCCGCATGTTAAATTGCACATTTGGGAAGTTTCCTTTGGGAAGTTGCCACTTGGGAAATTGTCATTTGGAAAGCCGCTCTTGGGAAAATGCCATTCGGTAAATCACCTTTCTTCTATATTTTTCCTTATTTCTTGATTTTACTGTTTTATTAAAGCTGTTAATTTGTATTTCTTTCTCTATCAACTATTCATCTACCTGTAAACAAATAAATCAACCAATAATCAATCTGAAGCCACATAAATTAACCAAAATCAAACACATGAACTAACTAATTATCTACCATTATACCATGTAAATCAACTAATAAACTACCTTTGATTACCGAAATCTACCAATAATCATCCTTTGGCTGTAACCATAATTCAACCAAAGTCAACTAAAACAAGTAACGTTATTCAAATCAATTTGATTATTTGGTTTTCTAACAAAATCAACTAAAAAAAAACCTTTTCGCAAATCTACTTCATCGGACATAAAAAAATCGAAAATCAAATACTTTACACTAAAAAGGGATTAATTCTCACAAGTTCCTCTTTTGTTTCTGTAGGACAAAATTCCGCAAGTCACTTTAATGGAAAAACTGCGCAACTAAAAAAACAATCTTTTAAAGGGACTGTAAATTAATTTCAAGTGACCCTCCATGCAAAGATGAGAATGTCCGATGAACAACGGTACCCTCAAATCCTTAATCTGATTGAAAATATGGAAGATACCATCCTTCCCGTGACTCGAATTGTGTTTAATTCTAAAAGTTTCTCCATTGATTCTTATAAACAAGAAATGCGGAGAAAGCCCAAAAAAATAAGCAGTTGAAGAAAACAAAAACATTGATATCTAATTCATAGTTGATGGGATAAATTTAGGGTCACTTGAAATTACGTCTTCTGGAACTCAGATATTTTCACTAGTAATTTAAATTATATCTTATCAACATAAGGTATTACTAACAATTTATATTAAAAGAAACCAACTCATAATTAGTTCTCAACAAATGCATAAAATATCTATCTCTCTATATATTAACCAGATCAACTAGAATTTCTATTCTACTGACTAAGTCAACCAATTTGTAAGTCTCACTATATTCTGATTAAATTGAAGATATTGAATTCTCCAACATCAAAAAGTCCCCAGGGCCCCCCAGGGCCCCCAACAATTTGCTATCAAGTTTACTCCCAAGTTTTAAACTCTTGAAACTAATGAAAATATCTTAACTTTCAAAAGAAATGTATCTTTTTACTTAATAAGCAAATAGCTGATAAATTCTTTTTAGGGCAATATTGCTTTAGCGTTTATTAAACAAGAACTGCAGTTTAATAAACAAGAACTTGTTTACTAAACAAGTACTGGTTTAGTAAACAAGAACTGGTTTAGTAAACAAGAACTAATTTAGTATACAAGAGCTGGTTTAGCAAACAAGAATTAGTTTAATAAACAAGAACTGGTTTATTAAACAAGAACTGGTTTAGCAAACAATAACTGGTTCAGTAAGCAATAACTGGTTTAGTAAACAATAACTGGTTTAGTAAACAAGAACTGGTTTAGCAAACAAGAACAAGTTTGGTAAACAAGAACTAGTTTAGAACTAGCTTAGTAAACAAAAACTTG